GGCATGCATTTGATTTTGCACAGAAAAAAAATGAGAAAATCAAGGTGCTAAAAGTATTTCCCTATGGAGAAGAGGATGGAGGTATTTTAATTTTGCATTTAATTCTACTTAAAATAAAACTAATGCAGACATTGATGAAAAATAATGAAAGAGGTGGATAATCAAGGAGGGATGCCACCTCAGTGGGGGAGAGAGTCAATCATATGTACTCTCGTTTCTCTGGTAATTCCTTACAGGTTTATTTAAAGGCAGACATGAACTCAGTGCTCTCAAACCAAAGCAGCTTCATTCTATTTTGCACGGTGATCTCCTTGCTGTTTGGTAAAACAATGAGGATGGGCGTGTGCGCTTGTCTGTGGCATAAGTGGAGGACAGAAGAGCAGAAGCAAACATTTGGCTGGTTGAAAATGAGCTGCTCACAATGATTCAGGACCCTGAGTCAGAGAAGACTGGGATTCTAGTGAGGTCTGCTTGCAGGAGACAGCAAAAAGGGAAAGTCATCAGTTTCAACTCTGCCTCTGCCCATCACTCACTCTAGAACACTCCATCAACTTCCAGGAGCTTTGGGTCTTTCTTCTGTCAACTGAGCCTAAGAATTGTCTTCTGACCTCAAAGTAATGTCACGAGGATTCAGAGAAACCATCAAGCACCTTTAAGCACTAGAAGTGTAGATGGTAAAACAAACAAAAAGACTACCTAAAATGTGATTACATAAATCAGTTAAGAGAAAGAGAAGGAACTAACCAGTGACACCTCATGAGCAGGAATAGTCCCCGAATCACCTAGGTGACTGAGCTCTCAAATGGTCCGTGGGGGCGGCCCTAACTCAGAGTCTCTCAAGCTCGAAGGAGATGCAGGAGAAAACCCTGCACACAGCCGCCCAGAGCTGACACCTCACAAGCTGCAAGCGGACTTGGAGGAAGGCCCACTCGGACTCCATGTTCCATCGGTGGCTGACTTCAGGTTTGTTTTCTCACGACCTCCCGAGAGGATCGGGGCAGATTCGAGTTCAGAGTCACACACTGGTAGATGCTTCTAAGCAAGAATATAAGAAGCAGAGGAGGCAGATGAGGTCAGGGCTGGCTGAGATCTGCTGTCCAAGAGGAGCAACCTGCGGACTGGCCAGGCAGCAGCAGAATCTCATCCGGGAACGGCAACTTTCCCTAGAGGTAAACTTGCAATTTGGTGACCAGGAGCTGGTCCTGTGGATTGCCATCCGGATGCCCGCCAACTGCCTACTGTAAGCTCTGCTGTTTATTCCTTCCTCACCGCTTTACCAGGGAACAGCTGCCTCACCTCTCTGGATTTCGGTTTCCTCATCTTCAAAGGGGATGATGCTTTTACTGTGAAAAGGAGTGGAGGGAACAGCAACAGCTCTTAACCTTACTGCGGGCCTGCAAAACATCGGCACAAGTACATTATTTCACCGAATATGAAATGATGCAGGGCGCGTGCTGTAAAGCGGTGCAGTGAACGCTGAGGCTCAGCGGTGGGGACATTGCTGTTGGCCACAGCTAAAAGCCAGATGAGTCAGAACTCAGCTGTTCCCTTCTGTGAGTTCTACCATTATATTTTCCCTGTATACATCGAGCACTTAACAGTTCCTGGCACACAAAACACACTGTGCTGACATAAGCTCCCTTCCTCACTCCTTTTCTCCTAAAGTAAGATTATTTCTATGCAGACATTTTGAAGTGGACTGCCATAACAGTAGTGTCTTATATTTATATAACTCCATTCTTCTAAAGAAACCATCCTACTTCATCTATTTTCTCTACGAATGCCACAAAGCTACATCACTACGTATCATTTCATTTATTTTACGAGAACGAGAAAGCAGCAAGTTGCTAGCGAGATGCCCAGAGTCACTGCCGAAACCAAATAAAAACTTGGTCTTTTTTACATCTAACTCGACTTTTATCCTCTCCTATGACACTGCCTCGATAATAAAGAACAGATCATTTTTATCTGGAAAACTACCAAACACAGAATTCAGCAAGGGCCTCCTGACCTCGCCACCTTGTCAAAGGAAAGAAAGTACATAAAAAATGAGGTTTGCGGGAGCAGACGGCTTTGGTCTGTCAACTTTCTCTTGAATTACGCCCATTAACTGACATAAAATTATATAAAATATAATGTAAAAAGACCCCCAAGTCTTTGGAAATTCAAGCTAAACTCACTGATCCTCCAGACTCATGCACAGCACGGCAGGGCAGGGAATCACTCCAGAAAGCTGCGGGGCTGCACACGTGATGGCCGCGAGTGGGTTGTCGGGAAAGTCAGGACACGTTTTTGCATAGAAAAAATATGCCATGACCTTTCCGACAGCCCAAGAGATCTTTGAAAGAAAAATTTAACAATCAGGTCACCTGAAGAAGAGTTCAAGCCAGTGATGAGCATTTAGCTGTGCAGCCTTGCAGGAGTCTGAGCCCCGGAAGGATGGCAGGTGACTGAAACAACCATTTCACCGGCTTCTGAGCACAGAGGGGCTCAGCGTACATGGGAAGCTTTTCCAAGATCTCCAGCAGACATGAGAGTAAGAATTAAACAGTAAAACTGCTAAGTACTGTCTGTTTCACTGGCAATTCCTGAGTCTACTGTCTAGGAATATGTTCAGCACTTTTGAGAAATAACCCCTCCAGACAGGGGGTACCGAAGGAAAAACCTGTACTCTGGTAACAGGAAAATTCAGGATTCAAATCCTGACCACCACTTACTGGCCACGTGATCATGGGCAAATCCCCTAATTCCTCTGGATTTAAAAGTTTTTGTCTATGAACAAGTAAGATACAGGTTAGGCAAGCCAGGGACCTGGCACACAGCCTGTGAGCACCCCCCACCCCAAGGCGAACATCAGGCCTGTGCGCCACACTGCCTAGTAGAGCCTGCCACAGGATGCACAGACAGAGCAGGAGCTGAGCGAACCAGTGCCCCAGCAAAATGCAGGCCCTGGCTCGAATCAGTTCTGACTGGCTCTTCAACACTCGGCTGCGTCATGACCAAGCCACAGGACTCCAAAGCAGTGTTACCAATGACTTAGAGTGTACACAATGGAATAAAACAAATATCTGGCCAGTAGGCAGGAAGAAAGTTTGGGAGGTTGGGGGTTTCTGGACTCTCAAGACTTGGAGCTGATTTTTTTTTTTAATATTTATTTATAAATTTATGCATACAGAACTGGAGCATAGGCCAGAGATGCAAGGGTGGTGAGAGGATTCACCAGAGTCAGAGTGGGGGGCAGAACAAGTCGACTGAAGAAGTATACTGCTGAGGGGAGCAGCGGGCGGGTCAGGAGGAGTCTGCCGCGCCGTGTGGGTCACCTCTGGGGCAGGGATCGAACTCATGCTGAAGTGACTTTAGCTTCTTAGTGCTGTGCTTTAACCTGCTGCGCCACCAGGGAGGGCAGGGACTGATCCTTGTTGCTAACAGGGAAGCATAAATGATGCTTTAGAGTCAACTAAAACTGGACTGAGGTACCAACTTGAGCATAAACCTCAGAGATGACTTTGCCTCTCTGAGTCTAAATTTCCACACCTAAAAGAAACTCCATTTCAGACAAATGAGGAATACAGGCAGATAGGGAGCACAAAAGACCCCACCAGCGAGACTGCCCTTCCCTTCTGGTCCCATGGAAGCTTCATTCATTCCGTCCAGGTCTCTACTCAAATGTCACTCGCTTCCTGGACCTCCCTATGTACAACAGAGCCCCCAACTCTCTCTAATCCCTTAGGCTGCTTATTTTTCTTCACAGTCTTTACCAACATTGCATTATATATTTGCTTTTCAGTTTGCTGGGCCTACCGACAAAATAAGGTAAGCCCTTGTTTGTTTTGTTTACAATAAGGAAAGTACATGGCATATAGCCAGAGCTTCACAAATATTAGCTGAGTGGATGAATGAACTCAACACTTATTTGGAATTGGTTATGTATGAGACACTGTGTTGGAACAGGGAATAAAAGACAACGAAGAAGTGAGCTTAATGAAGGAGAGATTAAATTCTGCCGGCCATGGAAGCAGATAAGATTGACCTGGTTGCCCCTGGTCTGAGGTAGTCGTCTCTCCAAAACTCTCCTTTGCCTACTCTGTCCCCTCCATTCTATTTGTTAATCAACAATCACAGAGACCCTGAAAAGTCAAGATCAGATCAGGTAGCTCCCCCACTTAAATCCCTCCAACGGCTCCCACTGCATTTAGAATGAAGCCCAGACTCCTCAGCTCATGGTGCGGTGGGTAAGGCCTGACCCTCCGGCCTCTGAGCACTCGTCTCCCTCTCCCCCACTCCCTCCCTCCCTGAGTTTCAGATGCGATGCCAAATTCTCTTTCTCAACATGCCCAGATCTTGCCATTTCTTTCCTTTTTTAATTTTAAAATGAATATATGTGTTTATTCATTTAAAACTCCAAATTCTATATATTCATATAATTAACAAATTCTGTCCTGATGCCTAAAATTTTTCAAGAAGCAGGGGCTAATGTAAAATAGCTCTCCAAGGATCACAGGTTAGAGAGTAACTAAATCTCTGACTTGGGACCTCTGTGCCTGCTGCTCATGGAGCCTGGAAAGATCTTCCTAACCTGACTCTGCCGTGGCATTCGGCTCACAGCCAAAATGTCACCTTCCAAAAGCATCCTCCCAGGCTAACGATGTCTCCACCACCATTACCCTCTTGAGTCACTCTAGGAATCACACTGCCTTTTCTTTCCTCATGACATATCTTTAAATGGAATGACGGCACTGAACTTACATCTTCACCAGAATGAACGCTACAGAAGAACAGGCTGTTGCCAGGTTTATTATCACATCTCCAGCCCCAAGTATACAGCAGGCACTCAATAAATATTTCTGAATTGGCCAACTGATCTCAAAAGATGTCAGAGTTTGCAAGGATGGGAAGTAGAGGCAAAGAGCGCCTGTACTTCCAAGCTGTGGCACGTAGGGCTGGTTTCCTGCCAAGGACTAGCTCAGTGCATCAAAACAGGGGCATTGTAGCCAACTTACTTGGGGATGGGGACCCGAATAAGCGTCCCTTCCACTTCTGGGTTCAGATTCATTCCACTTTCTCTTATAGCCTTGATAGCTGCAGCTGTACACTGAAAACCAGATCAAAAGGTAAACAGAATTAGTAAATAATTATTACCAGATGCAAGCCCTCTGCCGATAACTGGCAACCCATCTTGGCAGAACATGGAAACATTTAGTTCTGTTACCAGTAAGATCAGGAAGTTACATTGGTGTAGAGTGCTTTGATCAAGCTGAATAGCAAACTATGTCCACTCCTGGTACCAGTGTACTGCGGGAGGAAAAAAAGCAAAGAGAGGGAAAAAATAAAAAGAAAACAGCTCTGCTTCTTTGAAAAGATTTCAATGGTTTGAGGCAACACAGATCAAAACCACAATAAATCCTCAAGGGAGGGGGGCGGGTTTGTGCACAGATTGGTGTAAAGAAAGATGAAAGATTTTTACATTAAAAATTCCAGTTGACATTTTACACTCAAAATATACCAGTGCCGATTTGGAATGAGTAAATAAATTTAACTCATTCGCATCTACACTTGCCAACATTTTGGAATGAGCAGTGACTCTGCTGAGTCTCGGGGCAGAAGCAGAGCATGCTGGTCCAAAGCATGGGCTTGGCAGGCAGGAAGATCTGAGTTAAGCCCCAGCTCTGCTACCCATGTGACGCCCAGAAATAAACTTGACCTCCGGGAACCTCTATTTTATGATCTGAAACGATGCATGCCTGCACCTCTGAGACAGTGAGCTATCTTGCTCTGGGCCTGGAAAACAGTGATACCTTGGGGCAAGGGCAGTTATCACATGAAACTATCTAAATTTATGACATAAAAAAGAAGCCACAATAATGTCCAGACACGCTGGGCTGAGCTCCCACTGAGCTGACGGACAGCAACACGTCCTCCAGGCCTCGTCTGGCCTTAGCCTTCCCTTTAATGTGTCATTAGTGCATTGATTCCCACAAAGTGTCTCATCTCACCTCAACCACACCTGGCACAGTCTGGCTGAAGTGTTTTCACACAGTCTTTCTCGGCAGGCACAGAAGCACCGACTGCTGACACCGAGGAACTACGTCTCAGTGTTTACATCTTCCAGTTCAAGGCCCAGCACCAGGCACAAGGTAAGCGCTTAGTGAAAGCTTGCTGAATGAGCACATGATGAAATGGCTCCTATCTATTAGAAAATGTATCTCCTTTGCTCAATTTCATATATATAATTGCCTAAAATCTTATTTTATAGTTTTCTTTTCCTGTATCCTTTCATATGCAAAATTAAGGGAATCAAGAGGAGACTTCATTTTGCAAAGAAACCTACTAAAAGAAGTACATTTCTAAAATATTTGAATATGTATAGTTTACTTTGCTATGGCAGAGTGGAGAAACGCAAGGAATTAGTCATTTTTCCAACATGACTTTTAAAATGCTCATGGTTTGGACAAAAAAGCAGAGCCCACTCTTAGCCAGCTCTTTATCCCTCATGGAAGGGGCGCTTGTCAGTCCCCAGGCGTGGGCTACAGTGTTGAGAAAGTTCACAGACACCATTGAGAACCAGCTGGGAAAGAGGGACGTGGTCAGTCAGCACGACCACTACTGCTATATTGAAAGACAACAGAACTTTCATAAACCGGTGAATGAATCCTTGAGAATTTGGGCTCAAGTAAATTGTCAGTGGCAGTTTAATGACCGGCCTTCCATTTTCTTTATATCCCAACACGTCTCTAGCATGTAGGATCTATGAAAGCAGAGACCTTGTTATTTAAATCACCAGGGAATCTCCAGCACCCCGGAATCTGCAAGAACTTGCAAAACAATTTGCTGAATGAATGAGTGAATGAATGAGGGGATGAATGAATGAGGGGATGAATGAATGAATGAATGAATGAGGGGATGAATGAATGAGGGGATGAATGAATGAGGGGATGAATTAATGAATGAATGAGGGGATGAATGAATGAGGGGATGAATGGTGACAGGACAGACTTCCATATCAGATGTATGTTCAAATCTTGACTCTATCATGACAGCATGAACAGGGGGCCATTATTTTATTTCTCTGAACTGCAGCTTCCTCAAATGGGATAAGGAACTCCTAATTTTGAGAGCGCCTGTGGTAACCCTAGGAAAAAAAACATGAGGACACGCCAGGTAACACGACAGATACGCCACACACATCAGCCTCCTTCCACCAGAGCAACAATGGACCCTGTGAGATTTGTTTTCATTTGCCTTCTTCAAATCAGGCTGTGGTTTGTACTCCCTTCTTTTCTTTCCCATCATTAACTCTAGCTGCAGGCAAGCTTATGGGAGGCAGCGACTGTGTGTATCATTTATCGAGCAGGACACATGTTAAGCAAATGCAGCACAGTCTTCTGTCTTCAGTGCATCTGAGCAGATTATGCATGTAAATCTGCATGTGTCACTGTAGCATGACACAGACATGCTCAGCCTGAGAATGAAAGCCAACCGCATGCGAAACAGAAAGGAATTCCATAAACACAAAGAGGATTAGCTCAGCATTTTGAAGCTATGAACCTGGGTGCTCGACGGACAGCTTCTAAACCAGAGGAAGGAAATGTTTAGTTAGAGCTATTTGTTTAATATATACACCAGATGAGATAAAGGAATTCAAAAGACAATGCAACTCACACTTCCTCACTCTGTCCTTGCAAAAAAATCCCTCTCTACTGAGATACTTGTAAAGTTTTGTCCCCCAAAGCTGCAGAATTTGAACTGGGAGAACAGCAAAGATGCTTTGGTTGAAAAATGAAGATACACTCCAACTTCCTAAGAAAAAAATTAAGCTGTTAATACCTTCTCCTGCCTCCTAAGATGCTCTGGTGGCCAATCAGAGGCTTCTTCTGTGAATGCCATTTGCTATTTAATAACAGAAGTGGCTGGCTCTGAAAAGCAATCTGGCTGATGAGGTCTTCAAGCTGTGTAATTAGGAGGCCATGCCTTAAATTGGCCTGCAATGCCTATGGGATTAGATGAACAAGGACTCAGAGGTCCAAAAAGGAACAGAAAGAGTTGATAGTTCCCCTTTCATCCGTTTCTCTGCTCCTTAGTAACACCAGCATGAGCGCCTCCCTTCCGTCAACTTGGTGACAAGTGTTCACCCGCTTGAGGGAAACCCCCCCTGAGTGCTTCCACGCGCTGAGGGCTTCCACACGCCAGGCAGTGTGATGGATGCTAGATGCATGAAACAAGTTGGGTTCCCACAGTCCAGGCTTAAATCCAGTGAAAGTGAGATGGAAAATTAACTTGCAAAACAAAAATGTGTTGTGTAGCAGTTGCAAATGCTCAGTACAAGGAAGAATAAAAATCATGCAAAGTATGAGAGGTTAGTGTGCAAAAATAACATAGAAAGGATAGATCACAAGTTTCCCTGAGAAAGTGACATTTAAGCTATCATGCAAAAGCTGAATGACGATTAACCTGAAAAGCAAATTCCAGGTCAAAGGAACACCATGCGCAAAGGCACTGGGGTGTGCGGAGGGCTTGGAGTATTGAGGGAGTAAAAGGCCAGTGTGGTCAGGAGCATGCAAGGACGACAGCCACACAAAACTGGAGAGAAGAGGCAGAGAGAAGGGCCACGTTGTGCAGAGCCTTCTAGATCACAGTGTTCTTCTTGACGACTACTTGAAGCCATTATCAACTTAAAGCATGAAAATGACATGATCCAATATTTATTTTAAAAGTTCATTCTGGGCCCTCCCTGGTGGCGCAGCAGGTTAAAGCACTGCAATGAGAAGCTAAAGCCACTTCCGCATGAGTTCGATTCCCGCCTGCCCTGGAGGTGACCACATGGCGTGGCAGACCTCTCCTGACCCACCCGCTGCTCCCCTCAGCAGTGTACTTAATAGATCTGCCTGTTCTGCTCCCCACTCTGTCTCTGGTGAGGCCTCTCGCCACCCCTGAGCCTCTGGCCTATACCCCAGTTCTGTATGCACAAATAAATAAATCTTTAAAAAAAAAAAAAGAAAGAAAAATTAATTAATTATCAACATTTAAGAAAGAGCTTAGGCTACTAGCTTCTTTTGGAAATGAAAAAAATTTTTTAAAAATTTCTTTATTTACAAGGGGGATGAGAGGATTCACCAGAGACTGAGTGGGGAGCAGAACAGGCAGATCTACTGAAATACACTGATGAGGGGAGCAACAGGCAAGATAGGAGAGGTCTGCTGTGCCATGCGGGTCACCTCCTTGGCCTTCCGGGGATCAAACTCAGGCTGCAGTGGCTGATACCTTGATAGTGCTCTCTTTACCCCTGCACCACCAGGGCGGCAGCCTGAAAATGGAAATCTTAACTCTGGTAACAGTGATTACCAGGCCTACAGAAATTTCTGTGGGGGGATAGGTTAAGTGTCAATCACAGCATCACCACCACTGCTTTTCCTAGATGGGTCCTATGTCAGCATGCAAAATACTTGACTGGCCTCTACAGAGTTTGAGTTTAATGAAAAGGAATTTAGAAACAGGAAGAGAGCTTTTCCTTATTCTGAAGTTCCATTCATAATACCTTCTCCCCTGTTTGATCCCAACTGGAGGAAATACTTCCTCCTGACTTGACCTGGCTTCCTCCATTCCAAATGGCACCATGAAGAACCCATCCAGCAAGGTCACCTTACCTCTGGGAAGCTGGCCATATTCACCAAAATCAGCTGTGGGGACTTCATGGAGATCTGGCCTATCTGGTTTAAAGCAACTTTCCCATCAGCAGTTACCACAGAAATCTGATCAAGGGAGCCTGAAAGAAAAATTGTAGGTCTGAGAATTCAGAAGGCCCTTCATAGCTGGCCCTCAGTCTGTCTAATCCAGGTTCAACTGATCTCTAGGAATCCCTCACCAGCACCACAAGGCCGGTCAAGGGGCTTTCAGAGGAACAGCAGTGCCATGTATAGGAAAGAGCTTTGGAATGTTGACAGAACCAGGCTGGAATTCTTCAACCAGTAATAGGATGGCAACCATCCTGGGCTGCCTGAGTCGGGGGGTGGGGGTAGGGGTTCTGTGACACAGGACTTTTATTGCTAAAACTGCAAGGAGCTAGTTAGCCCTCCTGCAACTTTGTCATTGACTAAGTGTGAGACCTGGAGCAAGTTTCTTATCTTCTCTATGCCCTGGGCTCCAACTCAGTCAAAAAGTAACTGCCTTATGAGATTAAGGAAAGGGTTACAACTAAAGAAAAAAACAACTACACAATAAACACTCAAAAAGAAGCATAAAAACCAAGATATTAGCCCTTTTTAGTTCTCAAAACTGCTCCATAACACTGTTCCTATACACAAGAAAAGATGTATTACACAAGAGAAAACTGGATTACTTTAATGAGTCTGGGGGAGGAGAATGTCAAGTGGGCCAAGATCACAGCGGTAACAAAAAGAGGTAAGAAAAAGATGAAGAGCCAAGCCCTGGACTCAGGTGTGCAGATCCTCTCAAGACTCCCTCGTGCCACTGGAGCTCAATTTTGGCTACGCACCAATTTCTGGGGAGCTTTCCATCTTACACCCCTGGGTCACAGTTACATGGAAAGGGACAGGATTCAAACTTCCTGATTTCTGATGCAAATCTGAACTAAGAACAAAGCCCTTACGGTGCAGAGCAGAAAGCACTCGTGGTGGCTCATTCTGAGATACAAAGACCAAGAGGGGGAAAGAGAGCTTTTAAACAAATGTGGAGTGGCCCCAGCAAGCTCTTGTTAGCATAATGCACACTACTATGGCCCAGAGATCTGACTGAAGTACTCGACCAGATTCAATGTCATTGAACTGACAACAGAAGCTTCAATCTAGAAGAGTCCGGCATGCACACTCGTAAAATTCTCCATGAAACTGAAGACCAGCAGTGAGTTTAAACACCAACTCTGCCCTGTGTAACTGTGTGACCCTAGGGAGGGCCCTCCAACCTGCCGGTGTCTGTTTCCTGATCTTTAAATGAAGCATAGAAAACCGTACTCACAGCATTGTTTATGAGGATGAAATGAAAGATTTTACGGAAGGTGCATGGAGCTGTGTCCTGACATCTGCACATGTCAAAATAACTAACTGTGCATATTACTTCTTGATTTTCTCTGTTTTAACCAGACTAACCCACTTACAATTTCTCTAATACAGTTTGTTCTCTCTAAGGACCTTCTCAGATATTTTCCCTTCTTCTGAGCACGCCCTTCTCTGCTCAGATGACCTGATTATTCCTGTCACTCAGCTGTAACGGCAGCTTGTCTGCCTTCCTGGGCTGGGTAACCCTTTGTGGGCATCCAGGAGTCTTCGTATACATTTCTATGATAATGACAATGATAACTGATATTCACCGAACGCTTCCTAGAAGTAAGACTTTGTGCTAAGTGCTTTCTAGAATCCATTTGCTTTCATTTCACAATAACCTTAGGAGAGAGTAATTTCTTCCACCATTTTACAGATGAGGAAAGTGAGGCAGAACAGGGGAGCCTGAATGGAAACCCAGGTCTGCTCAACTCCAAAGCCCTGGTCTTCACGACCCTGCTTTGCTGGCTGGTTTTAGCGACGCTGGCTTACTTGTCTATACTTTCGTGTTAGGCTATAAACTCTTGAAGGTGTAGACAACAGCTTTTCCCTCTGTATCTATAGCACTTACTAATCAGCACAGAACAAGTGCTTAATAATGTTCTGATGAAAAAATGAATGTATGGATGAATAGAACAGATGGCATAAACCTATATCTCAGACAACTATTAAGAGCAATCAACTATGTTAAAGGGAGAAATTGCTGGTAGACAGATGGAGGTGTAAAAGGAAAAGTACCTGCTGGTTCAGATAGTAGTGAAAGATGATATGGAAGAATCTGGCAAAAAAAGACTGGCTAAAATTCAGCCTGTTTCACCCAGTCACTTCACAGCCCAAGTTCTACATAGGGCATTATACAAACATAACCCTAAAGAGGAAATACCAATGGGGGGCCTTTTGAAACGGATCTTAATTCAGCTTTCCTGGTTGGCTCTAAGCCCCTTTGCTACAGAAGTCCCAGCGTGCGCTTTGCAGTACGCAACGCGATGTTCCCATTCCCTAAATCCATATCGACATAATGCATCAAATCCTTTCCCCTCAATCTGTCCCCAGTGAGAATCTCCCTCAGCCTCATTCCTGCCCCTCATTTTCTCAGAGGTTAACATTTAACAAATTACACTCCCAACCTCTTTCCAGGCCCAGCATCTTTTTAAGTTCCATAAGAGTAGAGCTTGCTGGCTAATTTTAAGTATCACGTTTCTCCCTAAGCTCCTCTCAAACTGCTCTCTGGTTTCGGCTGCAGAATGTTAACAGGCTAGAAAGCACAAGGGAGACAAAGCACTTTATCAGTTTCATACCTAAAATAATAAGCAAGTTTAAAACAAACAGTTGGGAGAGATTGAATGGCGTGCTCTACTGTCAGCAAAGGCAGAAATGCCCCAGCCAAAGGTTGACAAATGATGGAATGTCTTCTGGTTTCTCACTGGATCTCGTCTGAACTCGGTATGTTTCTGCTGGTATTTATAAATGGAACAGTATATTTTTCACTTGGCTTTCTTAAGAGCAAGTTCATAAAACATTTTTTAGTTTCCTTAATAACTACGCCAACCGAGATGTGAGTGGGAGTAGCCCAGGCTCCCAAAGATATCTTCAGAGGGGGTCCCCCCAGCTTGACTCGAGAATGACAATTTCCAAAAGGCCAATTTAAAAGCAATTGGATTTTTCCTGCTTGCCTGTACCATTAGCTGACAAGTCACTTCTTCCATCACATCTGCAAACAGTTCTCCTAGACAGTTCTGACATCTCCCACTTAGAAAAGCCATTTTCAGGAAGTTATTAGCCCAAATGGAATCTTCCTGGTCAAACTTCAGGTGGACAGGTGGTTCCCAATAAGGGATAAGCATAGCCAAGTAGGACAAATTGGAAAAATCAGACCAAAGGTGTCAGTTACTGGAAGTGAGACTAGCTATCTACAAGTGTTTATAGTATAGTCATAATAAAACTCCCACTTTTTAAAAGTATAATTCCATGAGCATAAAGAACATGCATATTTTTGCCAACCTCCATGTACATTGCCTAGTCAGAGCAGGCAAGGATTTGCTGAATGCATAAATAAATGTAGCGTTCACAGTGTGCCAGGCATTGTGCCTGAACACTACATATGCGCCCTCGTTTATATCCACACCAGCCTAAGTTAGAAGGAAGGAGTAAGACAAGGCAACTGAGGACCAGAAAAGAAAAGTAAGGGCTTATGTCACCACTTAGAAAGTGACAAAATCCACTCTGCCGAAGCCATGCTTTCTACACCCCCCTCCAGAACACTGGCTCAGTCACTAACCTGGTGCAGTCCTTATATTGACAGTCTTATTGAAATTATCCTTGAGTGCTTCCATCACAGACTTCATTTCTTCATCCACCTCTTCCAAGCTGATTATATCTTCAACTAAGGCAGTATTAAGACTCACTCTGGTTTGGGGCTGTCCTTTCCCTTTGGCTGCAAAAGTCAGAATCAATATTAAATCAGTGTACCTGTTAAAAATCTTACTTATGGGTCCTCCTTGGTGGCACAGCAGGTTAAAGCACAGCACTAAGAAGTTAAGGCCACTTCAGCATGAGTTTGATCGCCACATGGCCCGGCAGACCTCTCCTGACCCACCCACTGCTCTCCTCAGCAGTGTACTTCGTCAAAAGTCCTGTTTTGCTCCCCACTCTGTCTCTGGTGAATCCTTTCACTGCACTTGCACCTCTGACCTATACCCCAGTTCTGTATGCATAAATAAATCTTTTTAAAAAACCTTAATTATGGCCCTCCCTGGTGGCGCAGCGGGTTAAAGCACTGCACTGAGAAGCTAAAGCCACTTCTGCATGAGTTCAATTCCCGCCTACCCCGGAGGAGACCACATGGTGTGGCAGACCTCTCCTGACCCGCCCACTGCTCCCCTCAGCAGTGTACTTCATCGATCTGCCTGTTCTGTTCCCTACTCTGTCTCTGGTGAAGCCTCTCACCACCCCTGAGCCTCTGGCCTGTACCCCAGTTCTGTATGTACAAATAAATAAATCTTTAAAAAAAAAAAATAAAAATCACAAAAAAAAAAAATCTTAATTATGCCAAATAGAAGATATAGTGGTAATTATAAAGGAATATTATATAGTCGTAAAAAGAAAGCTATTCAACCACTCAGAAGAATTTAAATGAATTTCACAAACATAATGTTAAGCTGAGAAGTTAGACACAAAACAGACTCTACAGTACAAAAGGCGATTATAAGAATATATAGTGAACAGTACGTCAGACAAAGCTAACTTGTGCTAAAACACTCATGACAAAAGTTTCTATGACATCTTTAGGGATTCACGCCCAAAGCAAGGAAAACAAAAGAGACTATAAACAACTGGGACGACAATAAACTAAAAATCTTTTGCACAGCAAAAGACACCATAACGAAAATAAAGACACTCTACTGAATGGGAGAAAATGTTTGCACACCATACATTAAGAGATTGATATTAAACCTGTACAAAAAACTCATACAATGTAACAAAAAGAAAAATACTAATTAAAACATAGGCAGAAGAATGAAACAGATTTCTCCAAAGAAGATATACAGAATGCAAATAGGCATATGAAAAAATGTTCATTTACATATCATTATTGAAATACAAATCAAGACGACAATGTGGTACCATCTCACACCGGTGAGGATGACGCATATCGAAAAGACCAGAAACTAGTGCTGGTGAGAATATGAAGAAAAGGGAGTACTTCTACACTGCTGGTAAAATGCAACCTGGTCCAGCACCTATGGAAAGACCCAGTAATTCCACTCCTAGACAGCTACCAAAAAAACTCAAAAACACTGATTTAAAAGGAAACTTGCACTCCCGTGTTTACTGCAGCACTATTTACTATAGCTAAGTTATGGTAACTAACTATCCCAAAACAGATGAGTGAGTTAAAAATATATGATAAATGTACATAATGGGATGTTAATCAGTGATCAAAAAAGATAAGCTCAGGTCATTTATGGCAACATGAATGGAGCTGAACGGATAATGCTAAGTGAAATAAGCCACTGAGAAAAAGATTAATACTAATGGTGTCACTGATGAGCAGAATATAGAGAAACCAAATTAGGGGTTAGATAAAAAGAAGGTTAAAAACGAACCCGTGCAAGCTGCCTCTAGAACTTGAGTAGAAAAGACGCACATAGACCATTGGGAGTGGGCTGTGGGAGATCTGTCACCACCACAGGGTGGGTGCCCTTTGGTGGCAATACCTGATGGGAGTATCCAGGTATTACCTCAATTAAAATTTAACTAATTAATGATAAAAAAAATCCCAATCCATGCCATTAGAAATCAGAAAAATAGTTACCTGCAAGGGATACAAGGCTGTAGTTATTAGAAGGGTCATAAAGGGGACGTGTGATGTGCTGGAAATATTCTGTTTTTGATCTGGTAATGACTGATTACAAAAGCATTTTCATTTTTGTAAAAACTACCCAGCTTTCTTCTTATGATAGCTGTGCTTATAGGTTTTTTTTGAAAATATATTTTTATAGAGGTAATGTTGGTTTATTCATGAGGCAAGTTTTCTGCAGGTATATAATTCAAATCTACAGACACTATATTGTGATCACCACCAATGTCTAGTTATCGCTATTAAAATTTTTTAATTTTTTAAAATAATAAACCTTCCATAAAGTAAGAGAGACTATTTAGATGCCTTTAACGTAGGGGAAAATGTCTTAGGTAGAGGGAAAAAAGCACAATCCATAAAGAAAACGATCGAATAAGACTATATTAAAGTGGAGAACTGGTCATCAAAAATACCATTAAAAGAGTTAAAAAGTAGACATATCAGCACGCAACTGGGCAACAAAAACTTTGAACATAGCCCTGGCCGTGGGCAAGGTCTTAATCTGGACCTGTTTCCTCGTTTACAGAAATGAGAGCTGTGCTTCACTAAACAATGGCAAAAATTTCTTCACTAGATAATTATATTTCCATCGAAGGGTCAAATAATTAAATATATAAGTTAAAAAAAAAACAAAAAACAATTTCCAGCATCGGCTAGTCCACTCAGCTATTTCCTGTCACTCATTCCTTCATTCAACAAAATTTTGATACATAGTATGTGTCAGGCTCTGTCCGGTCCTCAGTAAGAAGATACAGACCCTAGCCTAATAGAAAGATGTATGACAGACAATAATCAATCTTACAATTAACTAATTAATTGGTGCTGCTCTATATACACCAAAGGTAAAGCCACAGTGCGCACGAGCCATGTAACCCAGGACCTGACCGGGTCTAAGAGGCCAGGAAAAGGCTTCCCTGAGGAAGAGACATTTAAGCTGAGCCCAGCGGTATATCAAAGTCTCATTCCTGGATGACACAAACCATTAAGATCATCCATCTAAATCCATGGCTCCGATACCTCCTTGCCCAACAAACTTCTGGTTTTAATTTTACTCCCACATAGATCTTCCTATAAGGAGAAAATATGCTAAGCCCTGCCACAAGCATTCTGGTTTGTTTGCACTTCTACCTCTCATTCGAAATCTAGAAGAGCGAAATGAGGCATTTTCTGAGCCACTAAGGCAGCTTGATAAGGAGAAAACAGACCAGGTTCTAAGCCCTTCTCTGTTGCCGTGACCCTCGTGCTAACCCAGTGATCTGTGTGAGACACCATGGCCTACTGTGAGCAGAGGGAGAAATCCAGTATATCTCTAAGATCCTTCAAGCTGGGATAATTCAAGGACTGAATGTGAGGAGGTGTGAGGAGGTGGGCTTGAGTTTACCTTTTGCTTTCTTGGTGGCAAAGTCACGGCTCGGTACCACTGCAAAGGCTAAGTACTGCTGGCAGTCGCTCTGTCTTCCAGTCAGGGCCTTCCGTGGAACTTCTGACACGGGTCTGGTGAAGGCCGCAAGGGAGCTGCAAACAGTAGGGTGCACCAAGCGGAAGCATCTCAGACCCAAGGCCATGACTGAGGACAACCCCGTGAAAATCCACTACAAGAGTAACAGAAAAGGAAATTAAGTGAAAGAGAGGGCAACTTGAGAAAATAATGCATATCGTTTGTCAGGTGACTCCTACAGACTAAACCATTTAAACATAATCTCTGTAACCCACCTCCCAACAGCTGTACAAGAAATATGTTAGCTCCATTTTACAGGACAAAATACTGAAACTCACAGATTAATCTGTCCAGTCTGTGGAACTCCAAAAGACCTTGGTCTTTCCCCTGCACCAAGTGTCTCTTACCACACAGGAAATACAGTTAAGTGAATGTGTATCAGCCTAGACTTTTAAAGCTGCTAATTAAACCCCCACACGAGAAAAGGCATAAAATCTTGATAAAGCTATACTATAGAGAGAACAGAGCACTGGAAGAGGACTTTAAGCCAAATAAGAAAACTATTTCAATAGGCATAAAATGACTGGAAAATTCACACGACAGCATTTAATTAAAATTTTCTTTGGTTCCTTATGCACTGATTGCCAATTAGAATGTACTTTACTTTAATGTGAGTCTGAAGCATGGTTTAGGTTTTGAGGTCTTTCTTCCATATTATAGAACTTAAGCTCTGGAAATGCCACCCTCTTGTTAACACACAAGTTATACATTATCCTTCCAAGATCTTCGACCATGGAAAGATGCTAGAAACTAGTAACCTCTGGGCTAGAACACAGAGCTAAAGAGCTGACAAGTGTAACTGAATAGCTTCTGTTAGGAATCTGGCTATCACTCAACTAAAATCAAGAACGACTAGCATCAAATATCTGGAAGCTACTATCTTTAAAAATCAGTCCCATACCTCACTAAAAAGAGATCTCTGTGTCCGAAAATATTGATGCAGCAAAACAGATTGACTAAGAGCGTGGGCTTTGATGTCAGGAAAACAGAAATCATCCGAGAACGCCCAGCTGACTAGATACCCCTTGAGCATCTCTGCATCTTGATTTCCCTAACGGTAAAATGGGGGGGTTGAGGGGACTTGCTTGTTTCTCCAGGTTGGAAGTAATAAATGCAGTCTGAAGGCAAAACAGTTGCCACAGTGGCTACCAGAGAGCAGCAGCCTCCCAACCCCGCCCAAAATAGGGGCATCGCCTTTTTAGGCTTTCAAAATTTTCAACCCACAGTGAGATAAATAAATTCTGTGTCTCATTACTGATGTACAAAGCAGCATTGAGTCATCAGGTCTGATCTAAGTTTCAACTTCGGGCAACTCATTTCACCTTTCTGGGTGTTAACTTTCCTCATCTGCAAAATGAGAAACATAATCCTGAACCTAGAATAAAATGAGATCACGAATGCATGTAAAACACCTGGTGGTGCAACAGATTAGCACAGAGCACTGCATGTGAGCCCGCAGCCACTTCAGCATGAGTTCGATCCCTGCCCCCAGAGGTGACCCACATGGCGTGGCAGACCTCTCCTGACCTGCCCGCTGCTCCCCTCAGCAGTGTACTTTATCAATCTGCCTGTTATACTCCCTACTCTGTCTCTGGTGAATCCTCTCACCATCCCTGCACCTCTGGCCCATACCCCAGTTCTGTATGCATAAATAAATCTTTACCAAAAAAAAAAAAAATGCCTAGTACCGTGCCAGGAATACAGTAACTGCTTCATAGATGGAGCCTATCATTGCTGTCTAAAGGGGAAAAAAGCAAATGTGTATGGAGGCAAATTTCTCCTGATAAAATTAATAGCAAGGGATGCTAGATGTCAGTGGTTGGTATGTGAAATCAGTTAAAAATGTTTGAATTTTCAAAATGAGGAAATATTTTTCCTCTTCTTCATATTATCAATAGCTACTGTTATTTAAGGTTAGGCCTGGGCTGCTTTGGGATTCTGCCCATTTTATTTCATTTAATCTTCTCATTAATGGCACAAAGTATAATCTCCATGTTACAAATGTAGAAACTGAGGCTCAACAAGACTGTCATTGTCCCAGGACATAGAGCAAATAGCCCCACCCTATTTTAGCAAAACCGTCAACAAAAATCTGGCGCTAGGAGAGGTTTCTATATCTAGGTTAGCCAGTGCCTAACCCACACATATCCAAATATGGCTGCATAATGTGTGGTTTTGGGTTTGTTGTTTTTGTTTTTGTTTTTTTAAATCTACTGGATCTCAATCTGGCTACTCCATTTAAGACAAGTTTCCTGGTGTTCCTGTCGCAAGTCATAATACCAATCCACAAAGCAACAGGAAATCAAAAAGGGTTAGAAATAAACAACCTTTGACAGAAAACGCAGCATCCGAAAGCAGACCCGGTACACATGAACCGGAAGACAAGTCTATAAATAAACCTCATTGGCAAAATGCTTAAGGCGTACATTTTAATTGCACAGAAGTCAGGAAACTTCAAAGTGGAAGTTCAATAAAGTCAGTCCCTTGGGCCCTGTACCTGAAAGACATGCACATTAACACGCGGTCCAGCACAAATGAAGAAGCTGAGGGAAGAAAACCCTATGGGAGCCCAAGTGTTAGTCAACAAAACCAACCTACACTCAGAAATGTCGAGGGAAATAGCTGGGCTTTGTCTGTATTCTTGAATTGGACCCACAGTCTTCACACAGCTTTGGAAAGGCCATTTAGCCTCTCTGAGCCACAATTTCCACCGCATTTTTATCATGATGATACTGAGTCTTTAAAAAGATATTATAAGGTTGTAAGTGCAGAAATGATCTAAGTGCTATACTGCAAACAGTAACGCATTTGAGCTTCACGGCCGTGTCAGTGCTATTATTATGACCACTTTACAGAATAGGAAAGAGAGGCACAGGTAAGTAGTTTGCTCAATATTTTATTTCAGGCAGCATAGCTCCGGTGTCTGTGTCTTTATCTATTATACTATTTTGTGTATATACTATTTTGTGGGATCCAGTAGGTACAAGTAACTAGTTATCAATACAATGTTATTTAAACTGTAGGAATTAAGAATGTGGGGTACACATTCTTTTTCAGAGTTGTAGGTCTCAAAAAGTTGTATCTTCTATGAAGAACAAGGAAATTCATTTTAATTTTGGAAAGGAGTAGATGAGGACAAAATCCTGGTTTATCTGCTGTCCCAGCACCCCCTCCCAACTCAGCTATATTTTAGCTTATAATATGTACAGTTTACAAATGGGGATGTGCACACACAGGCCCTTGGCTTGTAAAAAAAATTTGTGTTTAAATGTGTTCTGATTCTCATAATAACCAAAGGATTATAACTATCATCCACATTTTACAAAAGTAAACCAATCACTTCCTTAAGTATTCCAGTTTTCTGGCATCTTCCATCATACCATTGAATCTACTTAGCTCTTCCCCCACCTCTGTAACAAACTAAGGCAGCTCCATTCTTCTTTCAGCTTTCACTTAAGCATCACATCTTCAGAGGATGCCTTCCTTCCTTTGCACCTATTTTAACAAATCAGTTACTATTTGTGATTTGTGTGGCTATTTTGATTCTTGTCTAATCCTTTACAAAAAGATAAGCACTAATCTGTGGCTGTCTAGTTCACTGCTAAATCCCCAGTGCCTGAGCACAATCCCTTAATGCAAAGGGTGCTGAATAAATACGATGAAACTGTAAAGGAAAGTCCAGAAAAATTAAGTGCTTGCCCAAGGTCATGCTGCTACCAGAATTGGAATCTAAGACTCAGTGGGTAGTTCTTGGGTTCTATTTCCCGAAACGACTTTCACTGTCTTTTGGTTCACCAGATATTCAGAGATAGCATAGCATGTCCTCTAAATTCAGTGTCATAAAAAGTATTTGCAGTATCTGACTGTACACAGAACCATATCCCTGACAAAGCCGGGATGATTGGCTTTAACAGACAGGTAGAGAAAGGAGCTTCTGCCTAAGCGCTAGGTGATCTGATTACATCCCTCTCTCATCCAGTCCTCTCTGGGTTCACAACCCCCGTCTATTGAAAAAGCACGTGTAGCAGCTCTACCACTGACTTGTGACTTAAATCATTTCTCCTACCCGGGTTTATTTCTCCTCAACTATAAAATGGAGGGTTAAACTAAATGTTTGCTCTTTCTAACTGTAAAGCTCTCCCGGATTCTGAGAGATGCAAACATGAAGTCAAAGAGAAAAAGGGCACCAAGCTTAGTTAAGACCTGGGAATGAATTCTGGCTCCAGCACTGCCTACCGATGGGACCTCAGGTCACATTCTCTGGACCTCAATCTCACCTGTAAAATGTACATGACAATACTACTTGCCAGGGTTACCGGGAAGATCGAATGAGGTAAGGGCTGCGAACTCACTTTGTAAAAGAGACGGGATATTGAAATAACAACTGTTTCACCACTGGACGGCGTGGAGTGGTTGAAAAATGAGGTCTGGGGATGTAAACTCCATTATTTGCTAGCCGCGAGACCCTAGCAATTATTCTTCCAAGCTGTCGTTTCTTCATCATGATGGATAAATAATCCCCTGCCCGTGGGATGGTCCTGAAAATTAAGTGTTCCTGCCAAGGACTGCGCTACTACAACAGAGGCTATTTATTGATTGCAAGCCCCAACCCCCACCCTCGGCGTCCCAAGCAGCCGGGACAAGCCCCGCCCCCATCCTGAAGACACGCTCCGGGTGCGACAGGTCCCGCCCCCAATCTTAAAGGTCAAGCCGGACTCGAATGGAGCGCGTCGAAGGGCGGTGATCAGGCCCCCAGAGATTCCCCCCAAGACGTCCCTGCGTTGAGATCTCTGGCACCCGGACCCCGCGCGCGCCTAGAGGTCGGGCCGAGGCGACTCACCAGCTACAGCTCAAGGTACTAGGGAAAGACAAGCGCGACAGCGACGGCGCGGCGTCGTGACGTCACGGGGTGGCGCGGCGGCGCGGGCGTAGTGCGTCACGGCGGCCTTGCTGCGGGCGGCGTTGGGACGGACGTGTCGGGAAGGCCCTGGGACCGCGGAGTCGGGACCTGCTTTGGGGGCATGAGCGGAGGGGACGACGCCGGAGTCGCGAGGTGAGTCCGGCCGCGAAGTGCCCTCGCACCTCAGCGCCGGCCCCGCGAGGGCTAGCGGGCGGGCCCGGGCCGCCGAGCGAGACGGCTGTCCAGGCCCCGCCCCGGATTGTCCTGCCGCTGGCCCGGAAATAACAATCCGGGTATTGACCCTTCGCGGCTGGGAATTCTCGGCCAAGAGTCGGGAAGCCGAGGTTCCAGGCCCGGCCGGCCGTTAGCGTTCGCTTCTAAGCACAAATGCCTTTGCTTGTCCGGTCTTCAGTTGCCCCAGATGACGGTTCCCGGCTTCCAGGGTTGTTGCAATTCAGCCGGGAGGAAAGACGTAAAAGCGATTTTGCAAACTGATATGATCTGCGGGGGTTACTACCATTGCAGACCCAAAGGATTGTGATAGTTACATGCCTTTTTGATCTCTGATTACACTTTTCTGTGCCTCAAAAAGCCCTGTACTGAGCTTTTCCAAATATTGTCTGATTTAAGCCTCGTCACGACTCGAGGCCGGTTGGGGAGGTGGTTAGGATAATTGTGTCCGTTCTGGAAAGGAAGAAGAGACTGAGCTCCGAGTGGAGAAGCCGCCCTTCTTTCATGCTGTAAATATGGGATACTTGTCTTGAGCTAGGCAGAGTACTACAGAATGTTCAAGATGCAGGAGGCCCTGCCCTCTGGGAGTTTACATTCTAGGAGGCAAACAAGATAGAAGAGTCAGTGACACACTGAATTAGCATAATCTGGAAAGAAGAAAATTGGCTGTCATAGAAGCCAACAAGGTGCTGCTTGCTCCTTAGAGAAAGCTTTTAAGGGGAGATCATGACTTACTAATTCACACAGTAACTGGGTGCAAAAATCAGAATTTGAAGCCAAACCTTTTGGCCCCATAACCTACACTCTTCCCATGAAAAATAGAACCTTCCCATAATATTGGTATTATTGCTGTTTTGGGACAAGAGAAAATCAGAAGGTTCCATCATTCAGGTCTCATCTTAGATATCACCTTGAGAGACCTTCTTTCCACTACTTCAGAAGTAGTGGGGTCAAGTCCCCAGATCACCTTGCTTAGTAGTGTTCACAGCACTTATCAGCAGTTACATTTTATTTCTTTGCTTTTGTGTGGCTACTCTTCCAAACACATAAAAACTGTAAGGGCAGAGGCTTTTACTTGCTCACTCATCTGTCCCTGGTTCCTAGAGCCCAGTACTTAGAATATAGAATGCAGCAAAATAAATAAATAAATAAATAAATACCTGTAGAAGGTAGGAGGAAAGCAGGGAGAAGACAAAATGTTTCTTCTCCCTTGTTTCCACTCCATTCTCTCCAGGTAAGAGCTGGGCTTACTCGTTTCTTTATTTTTAATGCAGAGCCCAGGATTTAGCAGTTATTGTGCGACACGTTGCTGAACAGGTTGACCACATGAGTGGGAATACTACCCAGCTGTGGGGTAGATGCCTGCTAGACTCTGTGGGCTGTGCTGAGATGAGTAAGAGGTAATGGCGGTGTTCAGCAGTGTTAGCTGTGTTTGTTACCACACGGCCCCTGCAGCACTGGCCTCTGAGGTGTGTTTGGTTACATTGGACACGTGTTTTCTCTAGCAGGGAGTACTGAATTCAGGCACAACCTGCCATCTTTGGAGCCCTTCGGCCTTTTCATTCTCTGCCACATTATACATTAAGGCTTTCTTTTACATCTGTCATATTTTTGGTTTGATCAGCAACCACAGTTTAATATGGTTTACTATGTATGGTAAGTGTGTTATGTAGCAATGAGGAAACAGAAGCTTAGAGAGAAGTAACTTGCAGCTAGAAATCCCAAAATAAGACACCGGGTCTTACAGCTACACAGTTTTTGTTCTTTCCATTACTATCTCCATCATAATATTCACCTTTTTTCTGTGAGATGAGTCATTTCAGGATCTAAGACTAGTAAGAATTGAAGCTAGCATGAATTGGAAGCTTCCCACATACCATGTATGTTCCTTAATGCACTAGATGTATTAACTCAGTGAATCTGTGCAGCTATAAAAGGTATTATCCCCATTTTACAGATGAGAAAAATGAGACACAGAGTGGTTAATAGTGATGGTAAGTGGTGGATCTGGGATGACTAAGGAGGAAATTAGTTTTTTCTTCCCAGTCTCTCCCAAAATATTAAACATATGAATAGTTAACATTTATTGGCTACTGTGTCAGATGCAGTATGTAATGCTTTCTTATCCGTTATCTTTGGTCTTCACAAAAGTCCTGTAGAATGGGAACTGTCATCTCCACTTATAGCTGAGGAAACATACCTAGAAAGTTCAGGTAACTCACCAAGTCCCAACCTTCATCCAAACCCTGTTCTGAATCCATAGTCTGTGGTCTTGTGGTCTTAAATTCCCTTTATCACCCTCTTTTTGGAAAAAACAAAAACAAAAACAGGTATATATTGTTCTCCCTCATCTATCCCCTTCACTGCCATTAAGACACTGGTAGTTTCCATGACTTATTTTGGGTGACAGTTGAAACGTATCATGTAGTAATAAAACCTTTGGACTCCTGCCCAGTTAGCTTCTGGCTTCAGAAGAGGAAAGCTAGTTTCCACACACAGAACCACACCCCTTTCACCTTAAATGGAAGCTTTTGGGTTCTGGCTGCCAGAGTAGCTGTCCCGAGGGGACTCGTGCTGGAGCCCTGGTTGTGGAATCACTGAAGCCTTTGAAGGACTGCCCAGAGCATGCCCTCCCTGAATAAATGTTTGTTGAGTCAAATTTGAAGTTTCACATGCACACAATGCTGTCCAGGTCCTGCCTGAATATTCACATTTTCTTTAGTATTTCATAGAGATTGATGGAAGCAGAAACCAAAACTCTTCCCCTGGAGAACGCGTCCATCCTTTCAGAGGGCTCCCTACAGGAAGGGCACCGGTTATGGATTGGCAATCTGGACCCCAAAATCACCGAGTAAGTCTCACTCACCTTAATTCATTATCTACAAAATTGGGATGTTTGTGGTGATGATATTCAGAGAATTTGAAGGATACGGGATACATTTTGGCCCTTTTATTCTGTATTAATTATCTTTGAAAGAGATGCGGTGATATTGGCCTGTTGTCACTTTTCTTACATGTGGATTCTTCTCTGCAAGCAAGCAACTTTGGTACCCCTTAAACCATAGCATTTTTTTTTTTTCTTTCTTGCCAAAGATGTTCTGTGTGATATTTGCAACTATTAGATTCCTTGTATCCCGTGACTATGGGCAGTTATTTTCATAGCCAGCTTTGAGCTTCTCTTGTTCCTCAACATGAAGGAACAAGCAGAAGTCTTAGTACCTTTGCAGACAGAGAGCTGCCACTTGACTATAATTCATGTCAAACAGTCATAGGACCTTAGAGGGTCGTAGCTAGAAGTGGTTATAGATCATCCCGGTCCCTTTGATTTTCGTTTGTTCATTAAATGATCTGAGTGTCTGCCTTGTGCCAAATGCCATGCTAGGTGGTATTCCCACTTTAAATCTGAGGAACTTTATCTCAAAGCAATTGAAACCTATAAATAAAATAAAAATTCAGGGCTGTTCCGATTAAAGTGGGGAAGAGTACATCTAGAAGCTCTGGCAACTGCCATCCTTTCTTTGGCAATCACTTGTAGGGCTCCAAGCAGCATACTTGAAAAGTTCTAATATGATGAGCTCTCTTATCTCACAGTAGAAACTGAGGTCCCAGAGACAGAAGTGCCGTCCCCAACCAAGGTCACAAAACCATCAGTAGTTGAGTTGCTCTGACTCCCATCTCTCCATCATGGCCATTATGGTAGGAAAGAATTTCTTAGCAGAGGGAATTGAGAGGTTTTCCCTCCCTCCCATTGTGCGAGTGGGAAAGGTGACTGGACAGTTAAGATTGAGTGAATTGGGCTGTGTGGGGGACGTGGGGTGCCGATATCAGTGCGTAAAGCAGTCCTGGAGCCGATCAGAAGTACTGGAAGTTATGGTGGAAAGTTTAGTTTCTTTCGCCTGCTGAAGCTCAAATTACTATTTGGTCCCTCTAGAAATGATAACGGTATTTAAGAAGTGCTGCCCCCCACCCCCCATATCATGTTATCTTGATGATGGATCCTAGAATATAGACTGAGCGTTTAGTTTGGTTCTCTTCATGATCGATGACTTTGGTGATGAATGTGTGATTCTGTCCAACCTCTCAATTAATGTCTGTTGGTCAGAAAAGTTGCTCCCATGGTCTAAAATTCAAGCTGGGAGAGGAGGCTCCCAAGAGAGGTTTCCATCCCCACCTCTGCTTACCTTCATGGAAATCTGGAGAGTGGAAACACTTCATCGTTTGTCTCCAGTTCCCTGTGATGAGACTCTTGTTCTAATTGTGTCCCTCTACTTGACAGGAGAGTTGAGGTAGACATCTTGCACCTCACTTACGGCCAAAATAGGAGTATGTGAATGTTTTCTTCAGCGAGGGCACTCATAGGAACCCGGGTCAGCTTCCCACTGTAGCCCTGTTCTCTGCATCGCGCCAGAGGTGGCCACAGCCACGGAGCGAGCTGCACACCGACGCCTCGGCGGTCTCCCTGGGGCCTCCCTTGTCTGTCTCACTGGGGCGCATTTACACTGTTTTTCTCCCGTGGGGTCCTTATCTTAAAACATTTTCTTTTTAAACAAGACTTTTAAATAGTAACAAATTTCTTATAACTATCAACCACAACTCACAGTCAGCATGAGATTTACTTGGAGCAAAGCAGCCTGACATTTCAGGTAGGGTAGCTCGTATTTTGTGAACATAAAATTCCTTCCAGTGTTAATCTCTGGATCCTGTTCCTCTCTATTAGGTAACTATGTTCTAGACTAATTACGTAGATATGATAGTGGGCAAACATTGGAGGAGTTTGTGATATAACTTAGGTAAATATTTAGTGCCTGGCTTGAAGTTCATTCTCAGGTATTGTTTGAACCCACCTCTCTGAACTTCTAATGACTCTTGGTAGAAGTCTGCCAGCCACCCTCCAGTTTTCATGATTAAACTGACACCCTCACATCGCTGCCAGTCCCTACTGTCTCACCCTGTTGTGTGCCTGCTCTTTGCCTATTTGTGCTCTTTGTAATTGCAGTAGTGACCATTTTGTAACTATATGATGTCTGAATGTCTAGATGACCCGAGATGAGTAGGTCTTAGACATGTGGGCTCAGGGGAACGGTGCCATACTCCAATTTGTGCTGACAGCACAAACCTCTTTCATTCTATGAAATCCTGAGCCCTCTCAGCTGCATTATACCTCTTATTCCTTATCTATAAAGTGATGATATTAAACTAAACTATCCCCACCAGAGAGGCCCTTTTCAAAGCTATTAAATGTAGGAACATTCTTTTAAATTGCTGTGGGACACTGTCTAACTGTAGGGGTAAAAAGAAGACTTCTAAATACCCTTCCTGATGCCTTCAGCAGAGAAACCAAAAGTTAATGTCACTAGATATTACCAATTTTCCACACTGTGATTACCACAAAGAGTAACACTGACTTCTTCAAATTTAAACCTACTATAGAAAAACAAATTAATTAATTTGCATTTTGCATAAGGAGAAAAATGAGAGGGAACAATGCGAGTAGAAACTCTAAAAGAAGGAGCATTCTAAATGAAGGGCAACCCATAAGTAAAGGTGTAGAAATAGAAATTATAAAGAGTACATGTTACATGTCAGCAGAAAATCAAAAATACCTTTTTGCATACAAGAGATGTTAGTGCTACATGACATGGAAAGTGAGCCCAGAACAGAGCGAATTCCATTCGCTGAAGGGGCCTGTGCAGTCACTCAGACACACCTGAATTTCATGGAGCAGAGTTCACCGTGGGCATCCAGCGGAAAATTCACTTCATTTTAGTAATGTTTTATTAGGGAAATCAGACGCCAGTATACATAGGATGGTATATAGAGACAAAGACTAAAGATGAGTGACTAGGAGAGACAGCTGTGCGCTGCCATGACCTGCCACTGCCACCACTAGAGAGAGACAGTGACCCTGGAGACCTGTGGCTGAGTCTTAGGTGAGGAAGGTGAGTCTAATGTTTCTTGCCTAACAACTGTAAAAAATCATGCCCACGCTGACAGTGGGGTAGCTGGAAAGAGGCAGTTTGGTTGGGGCGGGGGTCACAAGGTCAGTTTTGAGGTTTATTCAGTGAACTGAAAAGCGGCGGAAGCTGTCCGGGTGGGGATGTCCTGAGGACTTCTGGGTGCACCGGAGTGCAGGGACGAGTAGGTGCCTGTGCCTGTGCCTGGGGATACCTGATTCTCGTTAGCCCGTTTCTTATTTTTCCTTCCTTTCCCATGCTGCTTGCTTTTGGTGCCTTGGTTTCCATGAAGTTTTTCCTATTTGCTGTCTTAAATTTGAATCACATGTGATAACAAAAAGCACATAGACCCTAAAAACCGATGGTGTTCATTTCTGTAAGTTTATAAAGAGAATTTTCTCTAAAATTGTGCAGTGAAAATAATCTTAAATGTCATTTCATTGGCTTCCCATTGCCTGCAGCATCAAATTAAAATTCCCTTACTAAGCAAACATCCTTCACAATCTGCCCCCTGCTGCCTTTCCGCCTCTTCTGCCCACACCCACTCTCTCCCAGTGCATCAGACGTCCTCACTTTTATGTCTTCATGTGTGGTGTTCACTCACACTGAGGCGCTCCACTCAGATACACCTTTTCAAGAAGCTTTTCTTCGCCACCACCGTCCTCTTCATGTGTGCGCTCCTGCTCATGCCTGTGCGTGCAGGTTCACCCTGTTTTGTAATTGTGTGATTACAAGTCCACTCGCTGACCAAAACGTGAAGTCCTTGAAGGCAGGGACCTACTTATAGCCATCTGGATAGCTAAGTACTTGATACAGTTCCTGCCACATAGGAGGGTGTGCTTTAGCTCTTCTGTAGACTAGTTCTGTGCCACTAGCCAGCAAGGCTGAGACCCACTTCAGAAAGCACTGGTTAAGTCGCAGAACTACGTGCAGAGCTGGTATACTCATTCTCTAGCTCCTGCGGGCTGCAAGGCCCACGTTTCGTTGAGTGAAGCAGGGCTCTGATGAGTGCTGAGTTCTCCCATACTTCAGCAGCAGATGAAAGTGTTTGCAGATGTGAAAGCAAGATTCTCCAGGCTTTTTTCACTATCAGAGCTTGCAGTCCCCATCTTCAGGAAGCAAAATAGTAAACATTTCATTCCTTTTGTTTCGGTGTTCCGATAATTTCAAGAAATTATCAAACAAGAAAAGAAATGCCGGAGAAGTTGAAAGACACAGACCTAAGCAGATGTTCTTGGAATCTTAAGGTCGCACTTCTGGGCAGAACACATTTGTTAGCTTTTCAAAGAATAATCTGTTGGCTTTTTTTTCCCTGAGTAAATTAAAATTCATTTCCTAGGAAATGCCAATCGCCTTACCTTCCTGCTATTAAGCAGAATGGAGCTAATGAAAAGATGACCAGCTCGCAGTAGCCTTAGATCATTTGGTTTTTTTTTTTTTTAAATGGGTTTGACTCTCCCCCCCCCCCATTCATGGCAACGGGTGCTGCACTGTTGAGGTTTGAATGGGCATAGGAAGTGGGAGCCGCAGCTATGAATTAAAGACTGAGGAACACCCTTCTAGCCCATCTGTCAGTGTTTGAGAGACTCGCCCTAGTTGTAAGATGAAGAAAGATGATGAAGATGAAGTTCAGAAGATGAAGTGAAACCAGAAGTTTGCAATTCAGTTTCCCCCTTTCCCCAGAAGGTCCCCCCTACAGTCTCACTGACAATTCGGGTCTCCTGATGAGGGAGTTGAGAATTTTGAAATGGGTCTACAGAGCAGTTTAATAACCACAATATGCGTTGGGACCCATGCCTCCTGCCCCAATCCAAGACCTGTATTCTGTCTTCTTGCTTCGCTGTGTCAGGCATTTGTTCCAGGATAACGGACTTGCTTGTTAATGTATGTTAGTATCAAATTTAGTATAGCTTATGATCCATCTCATATCTTCTACCTCCCAAAGGAGATTCTTCCTCAAGAATAAAATCTTGATGAGCTTCTTCTAGAAAACAATGTGAATATAAATGGGGCTGTAATGACAGCTTTACTGACTCCCTGTGGGGTAGAATTCCCAGTAATAACAGATTTAGCATGTGGGCTGATACCTTTTTAGTATCACAGGGACAGCATTGTTTAGAGAAAGCCTTGACTCCATTTGAATAGTGCGGAGGATGCCAGGAGGAAGGCCAGAGGAAAAGGAAACGGGAGAACTGTTGGTTTGTCTCACCCTTACATCAGATGACAGGAAGTCAGGATTGAGATTGGCCACAGCAACCTGTTAAGGGCACATCTGTTTGAATAACTTTAAAGCTCTATAGAAACAAGTAAGTTTGAGAGCAAGGACTCTTAAGAGGGCAGGGGAGAACGGCAAGCGAGAGCCGGGAATTAGCCTCCTGCCAGGAGTAAATTTCTTCCTTGGCGTCTGGGTTCTTTATTCGATCATACGCCAAAGTACAAGCTGTGTTAAGGCAACTGAGGATGGTTAACTCTCTGTGGCTGATGATTTGTAGGCTGGCCAGGCCCCTGCCCTGCGCGAGACCAGCCTCAGCCTCCTGTGGTCCCGCATCGTCATCACTGTCACATCATGGGTTGAATCTCCCGGGCCCTCACCGAAGAGCCACTAGCTGTGGCTCAGTTTTGGGCAGAGACGCAAGTGCAGTTTGGGGCTAACAACGACTGACTGAGATGCACTAGGGAAATTTTCCAGTGTTGCTTTGTTTGGTGAATATGTATGTATTTGTTGCTTTGTTTTTGAGAGAGAAGGCTTTGAGTTTGAGAGTATGGGTGTGTATTTCTGATGGAGTTACAGTTACTCACAAATACTATGTCATTGCCAAGAAATTAAAAATAAATAAATCGACACTATTTTTGAGCTTTTCTCCAAAAGGGAAACAAATGGTGCTTGTGGGCCAGACAGCTGTTTGTTAGGTGTGGTTTTTTGTTTGGTGTTTTTGTGCTGGACAGACGCATAGCCATGACAATTCTAGTTCCCATTCCAAATAGAGGCAAACAACTCTGTTTGCCAAATAAACTCACATAGCAGTTCGGAGGAGGGCGGGGGTTGGGGGCATGAGAGTCTATCCCCGGATAAACCATCTCCTGCTTTTATCTTGCACTTCAGCTGAGTGCCCTGCAGACCTTCCAGCGCGTGCTCACGGCTGTTCTTTCTCCACAGATATCACCTCCTCAAGCTCCTCCAGAAGTTCGGCACAGTGAAGCAATTTGACTTTCTCTTTCACAAGTCAGGTGCTTTGGAGGGACAACCTCGAGGGTACTGTTTCGTAAACTTTGAAACTAAGCAGGTAATTGGGTTCTCACGTCACTCTGCGCGTCTCTCACAGTGATTAGAACAGAAGTTCCTTGTGGGCAGGAGCCGTGTCTTGCTGTCTCCCCAGGCCCTGCCTGAGTCTTCAAGGACACCCTCGGACCCAGTGAACGCATGAGCAGCTTTCGGAAACTGCTCTCTCAGGCCGCCGACCTACTTTTCTGACCAGATGCTTGGGTGCCCACATGAAGCCCAGGGCCATCCTCCTCCCTGCTCTGTTTCGTTTTTCCCGTTAGTGGCTGGCCAACAAAGCCGCCTTTTCTTTCAGTAGTTCTGCCCCGTGGTACAGAAGCCTTCCCTCTCTGTGGTGAACCACCCACAAACTCTTTTTGATTTTTTTTAAATGTACCCTTCTTCTCAGTGTCCCAGAACAAATGCATATGGATTTGAATAGACGTAGAGGAAGAGGATATTCAGCTTCAGGCATGCTATATGCATGTATGATCTCATATTAAAATGTAGCCCTTCTAATCGACATGCATTGTTAGGTTGAGTTTGAATGATGTAGGGATACTGCTTAGTACTCTGTAACGTCGTTAGTCATTGTAAAAGCACTACCTCATGTATTATTAATACTTGTATTTGGATGTTTTTCTTATGAAAGAAATACATGCTTAACATAGATTAAAATACAGAGAAGTACATCACCTTGCTGATAAATCACTGTTAATGTTTAGATGCGTATTTTTCTAATTTATTGTGCACATCTGCACACACGTAAGCACATGCACAGTTTGTAATGCACAAACATGTTACCATGCTTACCACTCACAGCATAATAACACTATTCTGTCATCTAGTGTTCATGGAGACAATGCTCTGGTGCTGGTGATCTCACCAGGGTAGCTGTGTGTGTGTGACTGAGTGTATGTATGCGTGTAAAAATCCATAGATGTATACAGCTTGAGTATTTATGCATTTTATGTATACCTTGCCTCTCTATTTAAAAACAAGTCAACATAGTTTTTGATGCCTGCATAGTATTTCACTATATGAATAGGTGCTAAGTTATTTGACCAATCCCAGCTGTTAGTTTATTTAGGTTGTCCCATTGACTTAAAGCACATGCAGTGGTAAATATCTTTATAGCTCTATGTCCAAATTTACTGCATTTCATGGAAATGAAGGATCAACAAAAGCCGTGCATGTTTCCTCTTCATACAACTGCCAGAGATCCTTCAAGAAATGATTTGTCAGAGAGTCTGAGACTGTTTGGGAATGTGCTTGTCCTTACCACTGCTGGGAGTTTTTATTTCCTCTAACTTTTACAAATGTGGTAGGTGATAAGTTGCAAGTCATTAACCTAATTGTTCAAAAATTTCAGAGGGAACTGAAAGAATGCCCCATTAGTCTAGCATTTTAAAAACTCTTACCGTTCCTAAATGAGAGCATGTGTTGAGGATTCTGAAACCAGTGGTCATGTTGGGGCTAGGTGTTGGTTCAGAGACACTGGACTAGCTATCACAAAGCCTGACTTCTGCCTCTGGCCCCTTTATGAACTCTGTGCAAGTCTCTTAGCCTTTTCTGGCTTCAGTGTTCATTTAAAAAAGGGATTAAAAATATACCTTCTCGGGCCCTCCCTGGTGGCACAGCAGGTTAAAGCACAGCACTGAGAAGCTAAAGCCACTTCCTCATGAGTTCGATTCCCGCCTGCCCCGGAGGTGACCACATGGCGCGGCAGACCTCTCCTGACCCGCCCGCTGCTCCCCTCAGCAGTGTACTTCGTCGATCTGCCTGTTCTGCTCCCCACTCTGTCTCTGGTGAAGCCTCTCGCCGCCCCTGAGCCTCTGGCCTGTACCCCAGTTCTGTATGAACAAATAAATAAATCTTAAAAAAAAATATATATATACACCTTCTCTTTACCTTATAGGAAATTGAGGGAATAGACGAGGGCACATATGAAAACACCAGTGGCATTTCAGAATATTGTTGAATATACGGTCTTTGAAATAACATACAAAGATAGAAATTTATTTTTAAAACATTTGTGCCCTGCTGGCATCTGATTACTGCTGAAACTACAGAATGTGTGGAGTATGCCCCGAAAGTGCTAATTCATCCCGTGGAACTTAGCATAAGAATAACTTTATCCCTCTCACTTGGTTTGCAGTCGTGAGGCAGGGATGCCAGCAGCTTCACCAGTGTCAGACACATAGTGGGTACTCAGTTTGTTGAATGTCATGGTGGCAGATTCACAGAAGTAAGAGATTTCTGAATTGGAGTGCTGCTGGGTTACACTGCAGTCTCACATAGACGCTCCTTATTCCTCTTCCTGTTCCTTAAGGGCTTCTTCACCCCCAGCCACCGGGGGCTCCACTTGGCTGACTGCCTCCTGGATACACATGGAGCAGAAAAGGCTTGGCAGGATGGAAAAGTACAGCCAGGTTTCCTGGGAAGGCCCTAGAGTGACTGTTATCCCGCTTCAGGAATTCCTTTCAACCCGTGGCTCCTGTGTCTGATGGGGAAAGGTCAGGGAGTTTTTGGCCCTGGAAACCAGGTGCACAGATTGGCTCACACAGATACCTTGCTCGCAGTCTCTTTGACTCACTCCTGCTTTTTCCGGTCTGGTTTCCTTCACTCCCGTATCCTCTGAAGCCACTACTGTTTCTTACTTTGACTCTAGGGAGTCTAAGCTCTAGTCCAGGGTACAGTTCTAGGGTCCCTGGGTGGAATACAATTTCTTGACACAGGAAGTGCTACCCTAATCACTTCGTGTAAAAAGGTATCACCTAAGAAAAACAGTGCCTTTGGCTCACTGGCTGAGTGCTTGCCATGTGCTCTGAGCCTCACCTGTGCTTTCTGAATCCTCACACGTACCAGAGCGGCACAAGTTGGAGTGTCCCCATTTTCCAGGTGAAAAGGCTGCTATTCAGAGAGACTGGTCTCCCCCGTAGTTCACTGCCAGTCAGTGACAGCAGGATGTGAATTTCTGTTCGACTTAAAAACTCTTATCCTTCTGGTTATTCACCTTTTCTTACTGTAAGCCCTGTTTGCCAGTTGTTTACCAGAAGTTGGTTGAAAATTCCCCCCCGAAAAGCTATGAGGGCATTGGAGAATATGTTTGTCCAGCTAGCCCTTGTTTATTTCATTGACATCTGTCTCTTTCCTGGGCAGGAAGCGGAACAAGCTATCCAGTGTCTCAATGGCAAGCTGGCTCTGTCCAAGAAGCTTGTGGTGCGGTGGGCGCATGCTCAGGTCAAGGTGAGTCTGGGGGACTAGACGGGCGATGTCAAGCTCATGCTGAATGAGACTCCCGAAAGACGGTTGTCCACTTCCCCCTTTGCATCTCAGTCTCTTCACATCTGGAACAGCCAGCTTAGGTCTCCTACTTGTATTTACCATGTGTTTTGCCAGATTTTTCTTTTGAGAAACATCTCAGGAGGGATTAAGTTCCTTGGTTGTTTGTCTCCACATACCCACAGATTCTGTTTTTGATTGATTTTTCCATGTGGCTGATGTGTATACGCAGACCGCTCTCTCTCTCTTTTTTTGTTTTGGTGTGGGGGTTGTTCTTTGGAGGAAAAAAATGTATTTTTAAAATTAGTTGCTCTAGGCATTATTAGACTCTTCCCAGCCTCTCAATTCTGTGGAGGGTTTGAATATGTTTATTCTAAATGCTTGGGAAACGCGTAGTGTGTATGCGTGCTTAAAGCAATGGCGACTCCTGACATCAGAGATTCTGAGGGCTGTTTGTGGAGCCTGCAGCGCCTGTGTTGTCTCCAGTGCCTGCAAAGTGGCAAACTGCCTTCTTCAGCTTGTAGTTGGCCTCTTGGGAGAATGCACTGGAAAAACTATGACCATTAAAAAAGTGAGTGACGTGGTGTTATACCCAGCACAGAGGTGACGTGTGTGGACTGGAGCAGCCCCGGACGCTGGTTCTCTTCCTGCTGTGGCGGGGCTTTACCAGACCTACCCGGGAAAAGCTCTGCAGCCGTTCAGATGGGCGCTTCGACCTTAGTAAGAGGAGCTTGCGCAGAAGCTCTGCCCAGCACACTTTCCAGTAAACACTTAGGAAAATGAAACACTGACCCTCAGCATCTAAGCCGAGCAGGCACTGGCTCTTTATGAGTGGCCAGGTAATCACAGAGCCTTCCCAATTTCTAGGACACTGCCTTAAAGTAGAAGCAACAAGGAGAATTACTAAATGTGTTTTTACTCAAAAGGAAATCAACTCTCCTTTGCCACACTGGCTGTCATGTTCTTGCTGTGCATCTCACTGAGGAAACTTGCAGGAAAAATCACCCTCCTTCCAGGCTCTCAGGAGGGAGCTGCCATTCTCTCCTACAAGTCTTTTTGACCAGCGTCTTTTGCCTCATTTAATATTATATTTACTTTATTTATATATAAAATATATTTTGCACTTATTTATTACAGTGATCGCCAGGACATCAAATTAAACAGTTCTTTTATAGTAGAATACTGTCAGTTATCAGTGGCTGAAAGCTTTCACTACTGCTATTCTCCACTCCGGCCTGTCAAGACTTGATTGTTACCCTTGGTCCTTGTAAGAGTCTAACAGAATTCTAGCAAAGTGTTTTGGATAAAGCAAAATAAACATTGTAAGAGGTGATAGATGATAGTGAAAATAAGCATGTAAGGGGGAAGTCCTGCTGCGTATTTATTTGTACACTGGTGAATTTGGAAGTTGAAGTGATTTCCCTGCAGATTAAGGAAGGCTTTTGATTAAGTGGGAAGCTTCTTCTAAACTTCTTTTTCTGAATGTATAGGCCAAATCTGGAGTTTTGCACCACCCCCAACTTAGAGCAGTCCTAAAGTGTCTGTAAATACGCTCGCAGTAGGTTGTGGGGCTGCACTTTCTGGATCCGGCGCTATGGCAGTGTGCCGCTTTTCACTCAGGTGAAGTAGTTTACCTTTTCTTATTTTCAGAGATACGATCATAACAAGAATGACAAGATCCTTCCAATCAGTCTGGAGCCGTCCTCAAGTACTGAGCCCGCTCAGTCCAATCTAAGGTAAGGTGGGAATTGAGCCATTTCTCGCAGAACTTCATTCCTAAATCTAGTAAGTCTTCAGGCTCTTGACTTAGAATAGAATCCACTAAGTAATGGATGTAGTCACTTCTGACATGTGGAGAGAGAGGTGTTCAGTTAATCCAGAATGCGTCCGTTCCCTGTCCTGCCCCCAAGACCATTTGTAGGTCTGCTCATGCAGAACGGCTGGACGTGCCGTGCAGCGGCCCCCAGTAGCCATCCCGCCGCGCATGGGCCACGGCGCTAAGTCATGCGCGGCCCTCCCCTGGCGCCAGGCGTTTCAAAGCGGACTCGAGTCTCTTTGGATTTGTCATTATACACCAATTCCTCTCCTAGTCTGAATTTCTTAATGCAAAATTTCAGTTTGCAGCACTTTAATTCTGTGTATGATTTCAGCAGCTATAACAGTTTTGGTTCTAATATATACAAATGAGCAGTTACTTCTTTGGAGTTAATTCAAAACAGAAGGAACTATGGGTTGGGTAGATAAAGGGGAAGTTGAATGGATGTTTGAGCAGAATAGAGGGTTTTGGTTTTTAGGGGTTTTTTTTGTTTTACATTCCTCAGGAGAAAATTAAATGATAGGATGTTTTGAGCTGTCTGTGAAGCAGGCACCTTGCTAAGTACTCTGCATGCTCCTTGTCATTTGATCATCATAAAAATACTATTACACTCATTCTTCATATGAGAAAACTGAAGCTTAAGAGGTGAAATTTCTTGGCCAAGATGACACAGGCAGCCAAGGCCAGAATCCAGATTCAAAGCCAGGGCTATTGTGCATCAGTCTTCTAGTTCCTGCTTCCGAAGGGGCGAGCTGGGCTGTAAGTGCAAGAGTCTGGTTCTACAGCCTGTCCGGGGGGTGGACGGGGAGGGAAGAAATCAGCTCTCAGCTACAGACTCAGGAGAGCTGAGCCTATTTGCTGGAGGGACAGAGAGGAACAAGAAAAATCCCCTTGTGTATGATCTGGACCAACAGAACAGAGCGACTCATTAAATTGCAAGCAGCCATAATCCTGGTAAGTTTTTAGGAGTGATAAACTGGGAAATTTAAATTTTATTTTATAGTTCATCAAATTTAACGTCATTGATATTTCTTAGTTTTGTGCTGCTTTATCGCTTTGTAGTCCTGGAAATTGTTTTTTAATTAGAATGACTTCTGTGGATTCACTGGGAACTTTAGTCCACTGTGCTGTTTTCCCTGTAACAGGAACCTTTTGATCCTAGATTGGTTTTCATAAGTCAAACTTCACTTACATTGTTTCTAAACCTGGCAATAATCTTGTCAGGTTGCCACACAAAAAGGATGATGCCTTCATGCTTGGTGACTTTCATGTTTCTTCACTTCTGTGTTTGCTCTTTTAACAGATAGGCTGGTGTTTCCAATTTATTTTTTAATTTAGAGAACCTTAATTTGTAACTTTATTATCTCTGGCTCACTAGACAAGGGTGTTTTTCTGTGACTTAGGCAGACGAATGGGGGGCTGGCCAGAGGTGTGGGGTGCATCTGGTCGCGCCTCATTGTTCACTTCTACTGTAACTTAATTTCTTTTCATCTTACATTGCCCATGTAAAACTGAGTATTTGCAACAGATGTGTATACTTTTTTTTATTTTAAAGATTTATTTATTTATGCATACAGAGCTGGGGTACAGGCCAGAGTTGGAGGGTGGTGAGAGGATTCACCTGAGACAGAGCAGGGAGCAAAACAGGCCAACTGATGAAGTACACTGCTGAGGGGAGCAGTGGGCGGGTCAGGAGAGGTCTGCCGCACCCTGTGGGTCACCTCCCGGGCGGGAATTGAACTCATGCTGCAGTGTCTTTAGCTTCTCAGTGCTGTGCTTTAACCCGCTGCGCCACCAGGGAGGGCCAGATGTGTGTACTTTTGTCGCTATTCTCTTGCATGTTTCTCGGGGTCCCTGACTATAGACTATTGACAGCATCAAAAAGGGGGACTAACGGGGCCCATGGGCCAGAAACAGTCTCTGCCTGAAACCTGTGCATTCTGGCCCCCGTAGCAATGTGCTTGGCAGGAGGGAGCTCCTCTCAGCTTCCCCTGTCTCACCCTGCTGCCTCGTACAGGCCGCTCAGCTTCCTACCAGCATGAGGCTTGGCTCCACAGCTTGTTGGTTGTACAAACCTAGAGTCGATCGCTACCTCTACATCCATGTCTTCATCTGTCAATTGTGGGTGATGACCCTTACCAGTTATTGCAAGGATTAGAAAATGTAAGTGAGGCGCTAGGCACAGTGCCCAGCTCTTAAAGCACCCTATAAATGTTGGCCTGTGTAAACACATGTGTGTCAGCAAAAGACAGAATACAGGATTTCCAGGGTGTTTTTGCCATTATTCTCCAGTGATTCGAAGGGTGGTACAGTGAAAAATGAACAGCACAGGCTTTGGGGTCAGAGTGAATTGAGGTCTCCGACGCACCCCTTACTACTGTGTGCTGTATGTGTGGGCAGGTTCGCCTTTCTGTCCTCAGGTCCTTTGCTGCAGAAAAGGAGTACAGCCTCGCTTACTTTGTTGCTTTCAGCCCTGCATCATTTTTCCCCTCGGTTTATTAAGTTACGGTAAAATACACTGTCTTAACCACTTTGAGCGTACCGCTCAGTGATACTCAGTGTGCTCGTGTTGTCCAGCACCACTGCTCCCCACCTCTGGTGCGCGTTGCCTTGTAAGGCTGAAAGGCTGTGCCTGGGAAACAGCTCCACACTCCTCCCTGCCCAGCCGAGGCGCCATCTCTCAACCTTCTATCTCCGGGGTTTTGACTACTCTTAGAATCTCATCTGAGTGAAATCATGCAGTGTGTGTCCTGTGACAGACTGTTGTCCTCGTGTTTCATCCATGTGTAGCATGTCAGAATTTCCATCCTTTTTAAGGCTTTTAAAATGTGACAGACTGTTTTGCTTACGCACTCACCCATTACTGACACATGCTGTGAACACGGGTGTGCAGGTCTCTAGACTCTGCCTTTGACGCCTACATGAGTTACTTTTGAGTGCCACTATCTGCCAGGCAAAATGTGAACTCTTCCACAGTGCTTGGACTTGCAGCGGAAACTTCATGCTGGCCTGTGTTGCTTAATTACATGGGTCGAGGCAGCACAGAGACCATGGCCCTGGCCCCAGTAGGCTGACCGCTGTCCTAGGCACGTGGGGGCCACGCCACCCGAGGTTGTGCACGCACAGTGTGTCCTCGCGGCCATGAAATCGCCTGCCTGCGCGTTTCGTGGAGCAGGTCCCTGTCGTTAAGCAGCACACAAAATGTTTGAGTGTTCGTATTTGAAGCTCTGTTGCTGCTTTGGTGTGCTTAAGAGGCACGACAAAGGTGAAAAACACAAGTGTTTATTTTCTGAACGCAACAGGCACACTCTGATCCTTTGCCCTCCTTTTTCCAGCGTCACTGCAAAAATAAAAGCCATTGAAGCAAAGCTGAAGATGATGGCAGAAAACCCTGATGCAGCGTATCCAGCAGCGCCTGTCTACTCCTACTTTAAGCCGCCAGATAAAAAAAGGACTACTCCTTATTCCAGAGCCGCTTGGAAGTCTCGAAGATGATGGTTATGAGTTACTGTTGCAGCAAAAGCGAATTGATCTTCACACCCAAACCCTCTGCCTTGTACTTTGTAGATGTGAACGGTACTACCAGCAGCACAATCACGTGTTAGAGCTTGGCGACATGACCTTTTTGGAAGTTCTTATGGGTGTTTCTTCCCTGAAGTGTGTGTGGAGTTGAGCATCTTCCAGAATAAATAGGCTTGTATCCAAAATTGTGATTTGAACACTGGGATGCTCTAGCTGGCTGGTTTGTTTGGATTTGTAACTCCAGAAACACTATACAGTGCCAGAGAGAAAGGCAAACAAAAAAATGTTATTATTTACATCAGGAAACTAAATTTATTAACATCCGTCTTTTAAAAAAATAGACCATTTTTCTGTGCTCAAGTGTCTTTACAACATATAAAAAAGAGAGATGGAGGGAAGTGCAAGATGAATCGTGTTTGGAGCTGTTGTTCCAGAATTTACCATAGAAATCCCTCCAATTGGACTAAAAAAGAGAACGTTCTTGGCAAATCCAGGCTGGTCCTTTGAGCAAATGTGGTAATCTGTTTAAGAATCATGCTTATTGATTCAAAATCCCAACTAGGAAAACGTGGTGTGTCTCTCAAACTGTTTGTGTCAATAAAACTGTAGAATCAAAATTAGCATTTTATACCACGACAGAAGATCTATTTGGAATCCCAGTTTTCACTTTATAGTGGTCATTTTTTAAAAAAATCTAAATAATCTTGCCTTCTATAATACCAAAAGTTATTAATGTGGGCTTTTAAAACTACTTACTGCATGAAATTGTTTTATAGCATGAGAATGTTCTATTTGGAATTGTCATGGCCAATCTAAATAGAAAAGCAAATTTCTTTTGAAAACCTAGATGTTTGCCACATCGATTGCTGTCACACAGACTATTCTCTAACCATTGTGTAGGGATCTGAGTAGAAGCTGAGCTGCGTTGGGCAGTGAGGAGAGGCTCAGAGGGACAGGCGCTGCTCTGGCACCGAGAGTGTGATGACCTCATGGCTGATGTGGGTTTACAAGGACTTTAAGTGACCCTTCATTCTTAGAAGTACTTCCCCCCAGATAGATTTTGCTACTTGGGACATTCTAAATGTAACAGTAAAGAGGTAAAACGAGTCAGCAGATTCGGGAGTTTCTGTGTCAGCACATTTGGTCACCTTGGTCCGAGGTGCATGGACTTCCATTAGGCAGCACTTTGCTGCCCTCCCTGGGCAGTCTCTCCCTTAGCTCAGGGGCCGTCCTTCACCATCAGACTACCCTCCGCTACCTTTCCTAGTAGAGGAAACTTTCATCAAAGGAGCTTAATTTAAGTCTTCCTGTGAGTGTAAGTTTGAGACACTTGAACAAAACCACCGCCTAGTGAGGCTTCAGAATTTACAGAACCAGGTCAAAGAAATTCGTACATCTTTCCCAAGGTAAATCTTTTTAGATCTCTTTAGATATTCAGTACATTCTCTTTAGATCTTAGTGATGTCTATAATAAAAGTAACTCTTCTTCCATTTGGGGGATAGTTCAGGGAAGGTGGGAGCATTATCTCCCATTTTTCTGGTGACTTCTTAGAGTATAGAATTCACCATTTTATCCTTAAGTCCTCAAAGGGTTATGGTGGAGTAGGGCTTCCTTAAAGCAAATAGTCTTCTATTTTTAATAGGAATTTAGAAAATACTTAACTTTGAATTACATAGAGTTGTTTCCTTTAGAAACCAGAGCTATTTATTTGTATTTAAAGCAATGTTTATTATTTGTACCAGTTCTTACTCTTCTGTGTGAATAAATGCAAGACCGTGTCCGTGTGATCATGTCCTCGTCCATTCCTGGAGTAAAGACTACAGCTCTCCGATAGGCCTGTTTGCACTCAGGACCTGGACTGTGTCCTGGTGGTGCTGTTTCTGAGATCCGCCTCGGCAGAAGGTTCTGGCTAGAGGAGGCCTCAGAGGCTGTGTGCTCCGCCCTCTCTGCCCGCTAATTCTGTTGTTAGACGTGAGAAGGAGGCTAACTTCTCACTGTACATCTTAATTATTTGAAAAGAAGTTGTCAAGGGAAGGTTCTGAAAGTACAGTGTCTCTTTTAAAGAAGCAGTTTTAAAGGGATAGATGTGCTGAAAGCAGTCTGATGAAAATTTGTGAAATACAGGTGCTTGCCTGGTCCACTCTTACAAAGCTATCTGTACTTTGCTTACTGTTCCTGCTAAAACTCTGCCACTTGTCATTTTGATCTGTACATGGGTGGGAAATTTTAGGAAATCTTCAGGACTATCTTCTTAATCTCAGTTCTCTTTTTATCACATGCAAAATGTAACCGTAACAGTTCATTTCTGTCATAAGCGTGTCAGAATTGGGAAAGGAGGTCACGTAAGATGTTTCGAAGCACGTCGAGAATCAGCAGCAAAAGCATTTTAACCGAGTATTCTGGAGTCCTCTCTATTAAGAGAGATTCCGTTAATTTCTGAATCAGCAACTATTATCTAGGACTTTTCAGTACTACTGTATCAAACAGCAGGATTAAGTCTTGCTTTATAAATTAGATGTTAACTATTTCCTGTCTGTAACCATTCAGGTCCTCAAATAGATTCGGTCCCATCATATTTATCCTTGACTTTTTCCTCTCCTGCTCCTTGCCAGTCCTTCCGTCCTGTCGACTCTGCCTCCAAAGGCATCTTGACCCTCTGCCTCTCAGCACCTTCTGCCGACCATTTTGGCTCCGCCACCGTCATGTGGCCTGGCCTGTTGCAGTACCTTCCCATCACCACCGCCGCCTCTACTGCCTCGCAGAGTTTCCCATGCAGTAGCTAAAGCAGTGCTTTGAAAATCTGAGTGTCGTTCCCTTCTCAGTGACTTTCCATCCCACCCAAAATAAAGCCCAAAGGACTCCACAGCCCTAAACGACCTGTGCCCGCCAGCCTGACTCGCCTACCGTTACCCCGTGTTGACTGTTCCCCTGCTGCCCTGGCCTTGCTGTTCCTTGAAGACAAGGGCGTCGCCTGCCACCAAGCCCTGGACATGGGTTCGTCCCCCGAGCACCAATTTGCGTATTGTTCAATTTGGTCAAAGGTCAGTGATCTTCTGAGAAGCCCTCCTGACCTTTTTAACATCAACCCTGTCACAACCCTTCTCTCCCCCTCCATTTTCCAAAAACCGCTTTCCAAATACAACCCAACTTAACCTTTTTTTTTTTTTTTTCACTAAAATGTAAGCTCCATGTGAGCAGAAACATTTGCAGCTTCACCAACATTTAAAACAATGCCTAGTAATAGATGCTCAATAATAATTTGCCGGGACCTCCCTGGTGGTGCAAGGGGTTAAGTCTCAGCACTACAAAGCTATCGCCAGCCACTGTTGTACGAGTTGGATTCCCCTGCCAAGGAGGTGCCCCACGTGGCACGGCAGACCTCTCCTGACCCGCCCGCTGCTCCCCCCGGCAGTGTACTTCGTCCATCTGCCTGTTCTGCTCCCCACTCTTTCTGGTGAATCCTTTCACCCTTCCCCCTGCACCTCTGGTCTGTACCCCAGCTCTTATGTGCATAAGAAAATAAATAATTACTGACAAAAAAAATCAGAATTGGGATACTTGGTTGCTGAAGGGCCTTAAGAGGTTATCACATTAAGTCCCCTCGTTGTCCAGATGGGAAAGAAGATGGAAACCCAGAGAGAAAAGGACTTGGCCATTTCTGCATAATGAGTGGAAGAGTTCAGTGGGACCCAGACAACTTGCCAATGCTGGGGTTCCTGTGCCAGCACCCTGTGCGACCACAGCTAGGAGTGCCTCTCGCATTTATTTTTTAAAGATAGATTTATTTGTACAGAACTGGGGTACAGGCCAGAGATGCGGAGGGTGAGAGAATTCACCAGAGACAGAGCGGGGAGCAGAACAGGCAGATGGACGAAGTACACTGCTGAGGGGAGCAGCGGGCGGGTCAGGAGAGGTCTGCCGCGCCATGTGGTCACCTCCGGGGCAGGCGGGGATCGAACTCGTGCGGAAGTGGCTTAAGTGGCTTTGTGCTGTGCTTTAGCCCACTGCGCCACCAGGGAAGGCCGCCTCTCACATTTTTAAATGATGGCAGAAAAATACGGTCTCGTGACACAAAAACGATCTGAATTTCAGATCTCAGTGTCCGAAGGTATTTTTTTAAGAATACAGCCATGCCCGTTCATTTACATATCATCGGTGGCTATTGTCCCACTGCAGAGACAGCAAAGTGGTTGCTCCAAAGACTGACTCTGACGGCCTGAAATACTCACCATCGGGCCCTTCACAGTAAGTCTGCCCACCCCTGCTCGAAAGTCCAGTCCAGTGTGGAAATGTCTTTCTAAACCTTTGTGCTGACAAAAGTTGTGGCGTTCACTGCAGAGGACAGAAGCGACGCAGGATGAGAGCTGGTGTGTGCACGGCATTACCTGCTCCTTTCTCACATCTCTGCTCTCTCCAGGGATGGGCCCTCGCTACCCACCTCTCGTGGCATCAGAGCACGGAAAACAGACAGACGCAGGTTTAATTCCCTCATCCATGAGGGATCTGAGGTCCAAAGAGCTTTGGCAGCAGGTTTGTCTGCAGGAGCAGGGTGGGGCTCGGTTCAGA